AGCCGTGAAGAGATACCCCATGTCTCAGGTAATAGAAACCCAAATAAGACAGTAGGTGTTGCGAGAGGGCATCAGAGGGCAGACACACTAAAACCATAATCACAGAAAACTAGTCAATCTGATCACAGGGACCACAGTCGTGTCTAACTCAATGAAACTAAGCCATGCCATGTGGGGCCACCCAAGACGGTCGGGTCATGGTGGAGAAGTCTGACAGAATGTGGTCCACTGGAGAAGGGAATGGCAAACCACTTCAGTATTCTTGCCTTGAGAACCCCATGAACAGCATGAAAAGGCAAAATGATAGGATACTGAAAGAGGAACTCCCCTGGTCGGTAGGTGCCCAATATGCTACTGGAGATCAGTGGAGAAATAACTCCACAAAGAATGAAGGGATGGAGCCAAAGCAAAAACAATACCCAGTTATGGGTGTGACTGGTGATAGAAGCAAGGTCCGATGCTGTAAAGAGCAATATTGCATAGGAACCTGGAATGTTAGGTCCATGAATCAAGGCAAATGGGCAGTGGTCAAACAGGAGATGGCAAGAGTGAACATCGACATTCTAGGAATCAGTGAACTAAAATGGACTGGAGTGGGTAAATTTAACTCAGATGACCATTATATCTACTACTGTGGGCAGGAATCCCTTAGAAGAAATGGAATAGCCATCATAGTCAACAAAGGAGTCCAAAATGCAGTACTTGGATGCAATCTCAAAAACAACAGAATGATCTCTGTTCTTTTCCAAGGCAAACCATTCAATATCACAGTAATCCAAGTCTATGCCCCAACCAGTAACGCTAAAGAAGCTGAAGTTGAATGGTTCTGTGAAGACCTACAAGACCTTTTAGAACTAACACCCCAAAAAAATGTCCTTTTCATTGTAGGGGACTGGAATGAAAAAGTAGGAAGTCAAGAAACACCTGGAGTAACAGGCAAATTTGGCCTTGCAGTACAGAATGAAGCAGGGCAAAGGCTAATAGAGTTTTGCCAAGAGAACACACTGGTCATAGCAAACACCCTCATCTAACAACACAAGAGAAGACTCTACACATGGACATCACCACATGGTCAACACTGAAATTAGATTGATTATATTCTTTGCAGCCAAAGATGGAGAAGCTCTATACAGTCAGCAAAAACAAGACCGGGAGCTGACTGTGGCTCAGATCATGAACTCCTTATTGCCAAATTCAGACTTAAACTGAAGAAAGTAGGGATAACCACTAGACCATTCAGGTATGACCTAAATAAAATCCCTTATGACTATACAGTGGAAGCGAGAAATAGATTTAAGGGACTAGATCTGATAGACAGAGAGCCTAATGAACTATGGATGGAGGTTCGTGACAATGTACAGGAGACAGGGATCAACACCATCCCCATGGAAAAGAAATGCAAAAAGGCAAGATGGTTGTCTGAGGAGGCCTTACAAATAGCTGTGAAAAGAAGAGAAGCGAAAAGCAAAGGAGAAAAGGAAAGATATACCCATTTGAATGCAGAGTTCCAAAGGATAGCAAGGAGAGAAAAGAAAGCCTTCCTCAGCGATCGATGCAAAGAAATTGAGGAAAACAACAGAATGGGAAAGACTAGAGATCTCTTCAAGAAAATTAGAGATATCAAAGGAACATTTCAGTCAAAGAAGGGTTTGATAAAGGACAGAAATGGTATGGACCTAACAGAAGCAGAAGATATTAAGAAGAGGTGGTAAGAATACACAGAAGAACTGCACAAAAAAGACCTTCACGACCCAGATCATCACAATGGTGTGATCACTCACCTAGAGCCAGACATCCTGGAATGTGAAGTCAAGTGGGCCTTGGAAAGCATCACTACGAACAAAGCTAGTGGATGTGATGGAATTCCAGTTAAGCTATTTCAAATCCTGAAAGATGATGCTGTGAAAGTGCTGCACTCAATATGCCAGCAAATTTGGAAAACTCAGCAGTGGCCACAGGACTGGAAAAGGTCAGTTTTCATTCCAATCCCTAAGAAAAGCAATCCCAAAGAATGCTCAAACTACCGCACAATTGCACTCATCTCACACGCTAGTAAATTAACGCCCAAAATTCTCCAAGCCAGGCTTCAGCAATACGTGAACCGAGAACTTCCAGATGTTCAAGCTGGTTTTAGAAAAGGCAGAGGAACCAGAGATGAAATTGCCAACATCTGCTGGATCATCGAGAAAGCAAGAGAGTTCCAGAAAAACATCTATTTCTGCTTTATTGACTATGCCAAAGCCTTTGACTGTGTGGATCACAATAAACTGTGGAAAATTCTTCAAGAGATGGGAATACCAGACCACCTGACCTGCCCCTTGAGAAACCTGTGTGCAGGTCAGGAAGCAACATTAGAACTGGACATGGAACAACAGACTGGTTCCAAATAGGAAAAGGACTACATCAAGGCTGTGTATTGTCACCCTGCTTATTTAACTTATATGCAGAGTACATCATGAGAAACGCTGGGCTGGAAGAAGCACAAGCTGGAATCAAGATTGCTGGGAGAAATATCAATAACCTCAGATATGCAGATGACACTACCCTCATGGCAGAGAGTGAAGAGGAACTAAAAATCCTGTTGATGAAAGTGAAAGAGGAGAGTGAAAAAGTTGGCTTAAAGCTCAACATTCAGAAAATTAAGATCATGGCATCTGGTCCCATCACCTCATGGGAAATAGATGGGGAGACAGTGGAAACAGTGTCAGACTTTATTTTTTTGGGCTCCAAAATCACTGTGGATGGTGACTGCAGCCATGAAATTAAAAGACGCTTACTCCTTGGAAGGAAAGTTATGACCAACCTAGATAGCATATTAAAGACATTACTTTGCCAACAAAGGTCTGTCTGGTCAAGGCTATGGTTTTTCCAGTGGTCATGTATGGATGTGAGAGTTGGACTGTGAAGAAAGCTGAGCGCCGAAAAATGGATGCTTTTGAACTATGGTTTTGGAGAAGACTCTTGAGAGTCCCTTGGACTGCAAGGAGATCCAACAAGTCCATCCTAGAGGAGATCAGTCCTGAGTGTTCATTGGAAGGACTGATGCTGAAACTCCAGTACTTTGGTCACCTCATGCAAAGAGTTGACTCATTGGAAAAGACCCTGATGCTTGGAGGGATTGGGGGCAGGAGGAGAAGGAGGTGACAGAGGATGAGATGGCTGGATGGCATCACCGACTCGATGGGCATGAGTTTAGGTAAACTCCAGGAGTTTGTGATGGACAGGGCGGCCTGGCGTGCTGCGATTCAAGGGGTCGCAAAGAGCCGGACACGACTAAACGACTGAACTGAACTGAAATGAACTGATATGCAGTCCCTAGGACAGCAACGAGATCAAACCAGTCAATCTAAAGGAAATCAACCCTGAATATTCATTGGAAGGACTAATGCTGAAGCTAAACCTCCAGTACTTTGGCCACCTGATGTGAAGAGCTGACTCATTGGAAAAGACCCTGATGCTGGGAAAGATTGAGGGAAGGAGAAGGAGGGGATGAAAGAGGACAAGATGGCTGGATGGCATCAATGACTCAATGAACATGAGTTTGAGCAAACTCTGGGAGATAGTGAAGGACAGGGAAGCCTCGCATGCTGCAGTCCATGGGGTTGCAAAGAGTCAGACATGACTGAGTGGCTGAATAAGAACAACAAAATGCTCAACATGTGCTAGTTTTAGTTATGATTACTTTTGTTAGATTGTAAGCTTCTTGAAATTAGGAACCATGCTCCAAATGTTATTAAACAGTGAATACCTAATACAAATATATTTTTTATTATTCATTTATATAACAGTTATATTTAGTGATAAGAATTCCAGAAAATGAAACACACTGGAATTAAGATTACTAGATTTGATTCTATTTTATATTCCACTTCTTTATTTCCCCCAAGTTGGTGGGTTGTTTTATTTCTTCCTCTTAATCTGACAATTTCTTCTTTTTGAAAAATAGTAATCATCTCTAAACTTTTGTCTTTTCTCACTGCAGGGTGATTCACATTCAAATTCCACCTATATTTTTAAGTGTCAGCTGCGACAGGCTCTGTGCTAGGTACTTGAGCATACTTAGATATTATCTCCATTTCATAGAGAAGAAAACCAAGGCTTAGAGAGTTCAACTGAATGGCCCAAGATCATACAATTAATGGGCTTCCCTGGTGGCTCAGATGGTATAGAATCTGCCTGTAATTCAGAGACCTGGGTTCAATCCCTGGATTGAGAAGATCCCCTAGAGAAGAGAATGGCAACCTACTCTGGTATTCTTGCCTGGAGAATTCCATGGACTGAGGAGACTGGAAGACTACAGTCTATGGGGTCACAAGGAGTTGGACATGACTGAGCAACTAACACATACTAGCTCAAGAATGACCAATTAGACTTAACCATAAACCACTGAAAAGAACTTTAGGAGGAAAATGACTAAGTAGTTTGATGTACAGAGAGATAGAAATGTCTCCTTCAAAAGGAGGTGAGGAGGAGAGTCAGGGTATTCTTTGTGAAGATGAAATTACTCTAGGAGGTGGCCGGTCACTCCATGGACAATTGAGAGCTGACTAATCTGAAACAAAACTTTTCCCTTTCACTCCTTTCATTTTATATATATATTTAAACATATAAAAAATAAATACATATTTTATTAATTATATATATATGTGTGTATATGCATGTTTATGGTATATAAATGAAAGTAGATAGATTGTCATTATTTGGAAGATAACGTGGTAGGCATGGGAGAAAAGCATTTTATTTGATGATATGTGGACCATAAGTACTGGAGAAGGAAATGGCAACCCCTTCCAGTATTCTTGCCTGTAAAATCCCATGGACAGATGAGCCTGGTGGTCTATAGTCCATAGGGCCTCAAAGAGCTGTACATGACTGAGTGACTAAAATGATGATGGACAATAAGTAAATTCACAGGTTTTTAATATATGAAGAATGAATCTAGTAGAAGAAGACCCCTTATCAGTGTTGAAAATGATAGCACATATGTCCTTTCACCAAGTTTAGTTACAATTCTCATAATATAAAACTAATCCTTGAAATGCTCGGTAAATGTGCTGATTCTGGGTACAGATGAATCCACCACTTCTGAAGGCTTGGTATGGACTCCGATTTAGGTCTCCAATACATGTCCAGCGATTTTTGGTGCCCTTGTGGGAAATACACCATTTGGCATGATCCTGATAAGAGCTGAAATAAGAGTGTCTAGATATCTTAATTGCTCTGATATTGTAGACATGGTGAGGAAGGGAGCAGTTTGAAGGAAGCTCTTGTCTCTTTCGCTGCCAGGTTTCTGTTAGCAAGTGTGTCTTCAACTGTTGAGCCATCCAGGCTGCAAAGATGTCTAGAGTTTATAAAGAGAAAGATAGTGAGGTTAATATTTATTCTTAGATAAATCCTAAAAATATCCTCAGGAAGAGAATCATCACTCATGCCTGATATGTGAATGTCACAAGCATAATAAAAACAACATGATTGAGAGGGTGAATGGGAGAACATTTTGTAAATGCTAAAGTGATATGAAAATAAAAGTTATTATCATTATTACTAAGATGATATTGGTGCTGAAAATGTCTTCTGTTCTGCACAAACAAGGGAGCGATATATGTTTTTGTCCTGAAAAGACCTTTGGAAAGACTAAGGCTGGAGAAGTAATCAGAGGCCAGCATCTAGAAATCTTTATAAGCCATGCCAGAGTGTATGAATTTTCCTGAAATCAGTGGGAAATTTTTTAATACTGTATTTTATTTATGTATTCTAAATTAGTTAATTTTATTTATTTATTTCTGTTGCTCTGGATCTTCATTGCTGCATGCGGGCTTTCTCTAACTGTGGAGAGCAGGGGTTACTCGCTAGTCGCAGTGCATAGGGCTTCTCATTGCAGTGGCTTTTGTTGCGGAGCACAGGCTCTAGGCTCATGGGCTCAGTAGTTGCAGCTTGCTGGCTCCTGGGCATGCAGGCTTCAGCAGCCTTGGCTCATGGGCTCTAGAGTGAGGGTTCAGTAGTCGTGGTGTAGGGGCTTAGTTGCTCTGAGGCAGGTAGAATCTTCCTAGTTCAGGGACTGAACCGATGTCCCTTGCACTGATAGGCAGATTCTTAGCCACTGTACCACCAGGGAAGTCCTCAACAGAGAATTTTTTAAGGAGTGTTAGTGGAGGAATTAATAGAAACTGATTTATGATCATAAATATCAACTGAGAAACCATGTGCAGGATGAATGAGAAGACTACATTAGATTGGAGAGAGGAAAAACACGAGGTTGTCATAATAACTGTAATAACAAGCACAAATGTAGACTATGGCCATGGCAGAGAGATAAATGTGAGAGTTATTAAGGACCTGGAACTGATTGTATTTGATGATTTGATATGGGGGGCAGTGAGAAAAAAGAGGGATTGAGAGTTTCCAGGTGACAATGCAACAAAACTCTGTCTGGTCAAGGCTATGGTTTTTCCAGTGGTCATGTATGGATGTGAGAGTTGGACTGTGAAGAAAGCTGAGCGCTGAAAAATGGATGCTTTTGAACTATGGTGTTGGAGAAGACTCGAGAGTCCCTTGGACTGCAAGGAGATCCAACCAGTCCATCCTGAGGGAGATCAGTCCTGGGTGTTCATTGGAAGGACTGATGCTGAAGCTGAAACTCCAGTACTTTGGTCACCTCATGTGAAGAGTTGACTCATTGGAAAAGACCCTGATGCTTGGATGGATTGGGGGCAGGAGGAGAAGGGGGTGACAGAGGATGAGATGGCTGGATGGCATCACCGACTCGATGGGCATGAGTTTGAGTAAACTCCGGGAGTTGGTGATGGACAGGGAGGCCTGGAGTGCTGCGATTCATGGGGTTGCAAAGAGTCAGACACAACTGAGCGACTGAACTGAACTGGACTGATGCAGAATGAGAAAAGGGGTAAGATATGTGGGGGATAATGATGAGATGAGTTTGACATGTTGAATTTTATGTGGCTCTGCCACTCACTGTTGAATACATCTGTCAGAACACAGGCCTTGGATGAAGATCTGGATTTGGGAATCTCTCAAGGGCTAGCTCAGAGAAGGCAATGGCACCCCACTCCGGTACTCTTGCCTGGAGAATCCCATGGATGGAGGAGCCTGGTAGGCTGCAGTCCATGGGGTCGCGAAGAGTCAGACACGACTGAGTGACTTCACTTTCAATTTTCACTTTCATGCTTTGGAGAAGGAAATGGCAACCCACTCCAGTGTTCTTGCCTGGAGAATCCCAGGGAAAGAGGAGCCTGTTGGACTGCCGTCTATGGGGTCACACAGAGTCGGACATGACTGACGCGACTTAGCAGCAGCAGCAAGAGCTGGCTAGAATTGCCTCAAATGCATTGTAGATGAGATAAGGATCAGTAGAGGACCACAGGGCAACCTAGTCACATAAGGATTATGCAGAGGAAGAGGGCATGGCAGAAGAGACTTAAAATCAGGAGGAAGACCAAAAGCCTGTATACTGCCAAGACTCAGGGAGGGAAAAGTTCCAGAAAGGAAACTGTTCCAACTGTGCCAAATTCTGCAGAAGCTATTTCTGTCCTGTTAATTTGGGGATTTCTAATGCCTACCACAGGACTTGACAAGTAGTAGGCATTCAATAAAGTTTATTCACTATTAAAGGAAGGAAGCAAGGAAGGAAGACTGAGGTCAATTAAGGCTGTCATGGGTGACTGGGGATAGATACAGAGAAGCAAGACTGCACTCAAGGAGCAGTAAGCAAGTAAAGATCCTGAAGAGTTTCCTCAAAATAAATTTAGAAGAAAAGAAAAAAAAAACCAGAGATATAGGGAATCTAGAATTGAGGGAGGATTTTTTAGGAATGTTCAGGGCTCGTAGAGTAGATAGGCTAAAGTACAAGAGGGAGAACAGATCGAATGTAAGAATCCATGTGTTCGGAGCCTGATTAGTTTCTAGGGCACAGGGGGGCACTGCTTCTGTTGGGAAGGGAGGAATGTGGTAAAAAGGAATGAAAGTAGAAATGATTGTTGAGGGTGGAGTGTGCTCTTGAAGTGGTTTCTACCTCTATTCGCTCTGTGAAGGAAAGTGAAGATGAGCGAAGAGACAGGGAAAGGTAAAGGATTTGAGAGTAAGGAAGGCTTAAAATAATTGCTTAGGGGGTGAAAGGAAAGGAAAACAGCTTGGTTCTGTGCCCAACTGAGGCTGGAGACTGAGTTTTTACTGGCCTCTAGTTAGATGGTTGTGAGATACTTTTTTTGGATGGATCAGCGATCCTTCTATTCAAGTGGCTATTGTTTGAATTGATCCTTGATCTCCCTTTTCCCTTTCCTTTTTTGTCTTGCCTCCTTTTCTACTTCTACACTCCTAAATAATCAGTATATTTGCTCTTTGCATTCCAAAGTGAGTCCAACAGCACGGTTACAACATATTGTTTTGATGATGGTCTTTCTTACCGTCAAGAAAAGAATCAGACTTTGCAAAATGGAGGAATTTTTGTCCCTGGGCTGACTGAAGTGTGGCCAGGTGCCGGCCTGGGATCTCTGAGGAGCTGGATCCAGCACACAGCTGGGGCATGTGGATGAGTTCCATGTGAAAGGTTACAGGGATGGAGCAGCTGTAAATATTTGGGTTGTAGACCAAGAGCTGAGAGTCTGAACCGCAAACAGTAAAGAAAAGTTGAGAATTGAGATACTAACGGAAATGCTTGTTGGTACTTTAGATCTTGTTGTGAATTAAAAAAACTGAACAGAATGAAAAACAAAAATGAAAGTATTTCCTTCTTTAAGCCAATAGCCTTCAAACTTTTAATTAAAATAGCTGACACCTGTTGAGCCCTCCCTACTTTTTACTACATTGGTTTACTGATTTAATCATAAGAATATTACCTTTATTATTGGGTAAGTTATTTTATCACAATTCTCATTTTATAGATAAATTAATGGAGAATTTATGCCCAAAGCTATAAAACTTGTAACTGAAGGAGTTGATATTCAAGCCCAGGCAGGCTGGCCTTGGAGACCATGTGTTTTTTCCCTTATGTGTGAACATACAAAAGTAGAAAACACCCATATACTGATCATCCAGCTCCAAGAATGACCAGTTCATCACCGTGCACACCCAGTCTCTATGCTATTAAACTCTCTAATCTTTGCAGAAGCTCAACTAGCTAGACTAGGGCTTAATTTGGGTAAGAGGCTCAGTGATCCTTTCCAATCAGATGGAAATTTGATTTAAAAAAATATTTGAAACCTCCTACATTAGAACAAATCACTCTACTATTTAGCAGCTCCCTCAGTAAAAAGTGATTCGTAAAATATCATTACTACTTCTCCTCCTCATTTGTACTTTGGATTTTTCAAGTCCAAGTATTTTTGGCCACTTGAGCTTGAGATCTTAAGGGAAAATCATCTGGTTTAGGCTCAGAAGTGTCACGTTGGTGGCCTGTAAGCAACATGAGGTCTGCACAATTTAAAAAATAAGATGGAGACTGTATCAGAAAATCAGAAGATCTCTTTCTCTCTCAATTTCTCTTTCTCTCTCTATTTTCTACTTTACATCTTCCCCTAGATTTCTGCTTCCTCTGGAAAATATGGAGATGTAGGTCTTCATTCTCATGGAGCCACAACATAATGGAGTTGCAGCTTTCGAGGAAAGCTAGTGGAGAGTCAATACCCCATTTTGTCAAATTCCCCACTGCCCATGTGATGTCCACTGGTGTCACCCAGTTTTGTCACCTGCCTGGGCCCTGTAGACATTTGAAACTACCACTTCTGAGCAAGTTCAAAGACTTCCTTGGACCAGGAAACCAAGGTTCAGTAAGTGAGCCTGCCCAAGACCTCATCATGACAAAACCAATATTAGAATCCAGGTATCAGGGTTTATGAATAGAGGAGCAAATGAAGTGATACGTTTATTCATAATTTCCGAATCCCTTCTTAAATATTATGTCTTTTTTTAAGCACTCTAATGTTACCTATTGCTTCATACTGGTTGTACTTGAAAGTTATGCAGATGCCAGTTTGTCCATTTCGTCTCCCTGTGGGTGGATAATCATAGCCTTCTTCAGGAACTGGAGGAAAATGGGGAATGGAATGAATCAACCAGAACCCCTGGACTCTGTTCCACAGAAGTACACCTACCAAAGATAAAGTTAATACAGATAAATTAGAAAAATAAGCCTCCTTTAAAAAAAAAACACAGTTCAAAGCTACAACATTTAAGCCCTTTAAACTTCAGGCTAATGTTTCCTTAGGCTAATAATGACAAGTATCATGTTCTTTTTCAAAGATTTCAAAAAGAGTTCAGGTACACATCACATTGCCCCATTACTGATGATAACCCAACACAAAAGGGAGCTAGCGCAGACACCCTGTGAAGAGCTAAGAGGCATTTCATGTTGAAACTACAAGGAAAATTTGTTTTGGCAGAATGCAAATTTGCTAAATTGGAGTTTGACCTCGTTAGACGATATAGTCACCTGGCAAGCTTCAGATGTCTTTACTGCTAAGCAGCTAAGCTATTTTCAAAACCCAGCTGAAAAACATAGTTGAAAGGGAAAATGTCAAATGAAAAATTGTATTTGCAGTAATTTGTTGTGAAAAACTGATGCTCATTTATGTGCAGAGGTCACCCAATTTTACAAGTTTGAAAAAAAAAGAAGCAGAAAAGGGATGGGGGTGGGGATGAAGGAAGCCATGTTCTAAAGCATCCTAGTTACTTGTATTTTGTAAATCTCTGGAGCAGATAGTATGAAAGCCAGAAAGGAAGAAAACTGAAAGATTTTCATCATCTTGTGACATGGCACAAAGAACCCTGTCCAACAGGCACCTATGACTATTTCTGTGTTTATAAATATATCAGGATAATTTGGGTATGCTAACTTGGCTTTCTAGTTTGCACATGACCATGCAGACATAAAAGTCATACTTGCCTTAGTGTTAGAGTAGAAACCAAATGCCTGCCAGTTATTTCTTTTTCAAAGAACACACTTTAAGAAAGCACACTGTTGCTGTCTCAGTGACTGTGGAATCAATACCTGCGTCGAGATGGAAAATGTTCAGAGTTCGGTTGCCGCACAGAGCTGCATGACCTCAGGGCCTCTGTTCTGCCCAGATGAGTGTGCTGTTTGTCTGAAATCCTAGCTTCCTGGTACAAGTGCCACAGGATATTGGAGCACCTGTTGGCAGGGAACTCTCCCATATGACATCAGGTTCCACTCCATTTCCAATCTTTTTTCTGAGCCCTTGTATCAACTAACAGAGTGGAGTGATAATGGTGGTGGGAGGTTGGTAAAGAAGAGTTTGCAAAATGTGGCAGGATGTGGCAAATACGACCATCAGGAGGGCAACTTAGCTAAATCAAAAGCTAAGTTGCTCATGGCATTTGACAGCCATTACAAATTAAATTCTTAATCAGAGTTTGCAAACTGGCAGCCCACAGACCAAGTCTAACCTGCAGATACATGTTATTATGCTTGAAGATTATTTTTAAAACTTCAAATTCATTGCCAGCACTTAAAAACTGGGATTTTCCACAAACTCCTCATTTTCTCTGGAAAAAATCACATTCCCATAAGGCAAGCTGAGTGGTAACTGCTTCTTCAGACCATGTGTATACTCTCCAGCTCTCCAGTTACCTGCCGGTTCAGCCCCCTTGGCGTGCTGACATCATTTGCCTGACCCCGAAGGCATTTGATTTGGGAACCTTCTGAAAAACACTTATTGCTGTGGGAAGTTATTCATGGTATATTAAGTTGAAAAGAGTTTGAAGTAATCACTACAGAAGTTTTATAAAAAATGTTTCAAAATATATATTATAGAAAAAGTAGAAAATATTAGGCGCAACTGGGGGCTTCCCAGGTGGCTCAGTGATAAAAAATCTGCCTGCAATAGGAGAAGCAGGTTTGATCCATGGGTCAGGAAGATCACCTGGAGGAGGAAATGGCAACCCACTCCAGTATTCTTGCCTGGAAAATTCCATTTTCCAGGAGCCTGGTAGGATACAGTCCATAGAGTCACAAAAGAGTTAAACATGACTTAGTGACTAAACAACAAGATTAGGTATAATTAGCTAATGAATATTAGGATTACAAATTTCTTGTTTACTATCATTTTGACTTCTTCAACAACACACATACTTATATACATAGTTTACAAATAGAAAAATATAAAAAATCCCTATAATAAAATTATTATAATATATAATTATTAACCAACTTACTATAATATGAAAATTATTTTAAAATACTTTTTCAAAGATGTTTACTGTATTTTAAATGGAACTAAGAAGGGTGAATTTTACTCTATGTAAATTATACTTCTATAACCTTAACTAAAATGTGTGTATACACACACACACACACACACACACACACACACACACGCACACACACGAGGCTGGCTAGTATTTCCAGTAGTCAAATGCTTGTATTTTTGCCTTAAAGTATATTTTAAAAATATTGAGAAATAAAATGGTATTTGGGCAAAGGATATTTCAAAGTCAAATTAAATTATTATAAACTGTGATACAGGAATCACTCATCTTGATAACTCAGACCATTAAAAAGAAAAGCTATCTTTTTAGTGTGGAATATAAACCTACTGAAGATAGGATGTTTAAGAAAAGGCTGACTTCCAGTAGGAAAGAGAAATAAGAGCCTTTGTCATACCTTTGCTGTGTCCATATTTTCTGCTGTAATTCACGGATTTAGGGACTCCATCATTGTATATTAGATAGGCTGTGCTGTTATTCTGCAGGAATATTTTAAGGTTATAATGGCATAAGTCCTTCACTCATAGATATTTTTCACTCACAACATTTCTACTAGCTACCCAGCCTACAATACAGAACTTTCATTAATACACATGAGAAACCATCCACTCCCCTAATAGGCAGATTTCCCATCAATTTGAATTCTGTGACATGCAAGGCAGGCGGCAAGAAGTCCATCCTCAACTTCGCAACTTGTGTGACAGGAACCCTGTGCTCTGTGATGTGTGTGTGAGGGCAATATTCCTATTTCTCCCAGTTGTTTTGGACTCATGTTTCTGATGAAGCAACTAGTGTATAATAAAGGAGTCCTTAAATATTTGTTCAGGAAATGAAGTAAGAACAACCAGCCAAGGATTACATCTGGGCTCTTTCCACTGATATTATAGGCACAGCGCAGAGCTGGCTGTCAGGGTTTGATTTCCTCTGCCTACTTTGTGCTTTACCACTTGGTCATAGCTTCCTGTTTAATCAGAATTCCTCATTCTCTGTTTCTACTGCCTCTTTGTTAGTGGAGGATTTTTCTTCAATCTATTTCTCTGTGTCACTTCACCTTTCCAACTGACATTCCCCTGCTTAAAAAAAGTGGTGTAATTGAATGTGTGATATTGGATTTCCTCTGGGAAGGCAAAATGCTAGTAAATTCTCCAAACAGTTTGCCAAATCTCTGAGTCAAAATGAAGCTATTACTTTGATAGTGTCTTTTTGTCATGTTTTGGAAACTTGCTTATATTTGTTCAGTGTCATTCCATTTCAATTGTATCATGATGCAGTGACTTTTAATGAAGCCAATAATGTCAATAGTAAAAAGTCCCAGCTATATATTAATAATTAAAAGCAGGAAAGGACAAACCATCTCTGTAAAAAAGGTCTTTGTTTTTCTCTGAGAAAAAAATAAGAGTCTCCTACAGTTGCTTCATTATTTGATTTCATCTAAAACCATTTTTTTTAAGGCATATGATAGTCTGTATAGCATTTTTGGCTACTATATTCAGGAATATTCGGGGAAATAAGCTGTTTTCTTACCTGCATTTTCCATAATTGACCATAGCTACAGTTGGCTATGGCCATAGCTACATATTCTCCACTGGAGAACTCTGACAGTTATTCTATGAGTCTGTGTTGAATGCGGTAACAAGGCCATTGTGTGCCTTTAGGGTACAATGTGGAGGGCCTCTGGGAAGATTCGGTAAACATAATTCTCCTAATAGATGAAGTTTATCATCCTAACTAGGAGTGTAACAATCAACTAAGATTAAATGGGATGTAACTCTAGTGAAGAGAGGCCCTCTCACAAAGAGGAAAAATCATGAACTAACAATAGGGCCTGGAGATAATCATACTAAGTGAAGTCAGACAGAAAGACAAATATCATATGATATCATTTATATGCAGAATCTTAAAAAATGATGCAAATGAACTTTTTTTACAAAACAGACTCACAGACTTAGAGAATAAATTTACGATACAGGAGTCGGGGGGAAATGTGGGGAGGAGGGATAGATTGGGAGTGTGGGATTGACATGTACACACTGCTATATTTAAAATACATAACCAAAAAAGACCTGCTGTATAGCACAGGGAATTCTGCTCAGTATTCTGTAATAAATTAATGGGAAAATAATTTGAAAAAGAATAGATACATGTGTATATATAACTGAATCACTTTACTGTGCACCTGAAACTAGCACAAAATTGCTAATCAACTGTGCTCCAATATAAAATAAAAATAATAATAAAAAAGAATAAGCAGACCTAGTCCTGTGTGTTTGGACATCTTTCTTTCTTTAACTCTTAGTTGGATTTGGCTTCTTTGACTACTGGATGTTGAACAAGAAGGTTATGGTCCCCAGTCTAGCTGGGAATATAGTCAGGCAAATATAGGCAACTGTGATATGGTCTAAGTGTTATTGTCAAGGTATATGGAAGGTTCTCATTTATTGACACAAAAGCAGAAGAAGGAAAGTATTTCCCAACATAACCCCAGACATTATCTTAACTTGACATTTGAGATTTAAAACCAGTTAGTCTGATCTTGCTTTCTGCTCTCTGTTAGAAGTTCAATTCTGGGTCAGAAGACGGGAAAGGTGTATTTTCATGGTCACTCCTGGCACGTGTGTTCAACTTCCGAAGAACATTCAGTCTTATCTGGATATCACCCCCTACTGTCGCTATTCTTCTTTTGGCTCTATGCCAATCAAACATGGCAATCAGCCCCGCTACTGTCATTTTCTTCCAGAATCCACCACTCCTGGCGTCGAGTGTGAGCAGGGCATACTGAAGCTAGGAAACATTGAATGGTTTTACATTGCCAAGCTGACCTGCTTCAGCCTCCCTCCATGTTTTATATACTTTTTAATTCCTAGCTTCCATCTGCATTTTTTTTTTTTTTTTTAGCAGAGCAGTTTAGTTCTCCTGCCCTCCTAGGCTCTGGGACTACTTTTGCACTTCCAAAGATCATTGTTATAGTTTGTCAAACTAAGATCCATCCTTCCCAACCAAGATAAACGACAGAGACTTTGCAGTGTTACCCTTTCCTTTCTCTTCTTGGGCAGTGTGCAATGGGAAAGGGAAGAATGTGTTTATTTTTTCATTGATGGGTTATACTCCAGGTTTTTCCATTGCCAACCTTGGAAAGCAGAAGCAGCTGCAAGTAATTTTTATTTTGCATAATAATTTATTAATTCAAAACAGGCCTGTTGCTGAGACTGAAGAATTTCTAAAAGCCCCTAGGACAGTGTTTGGAACATCATATGTATTCAAATAGCCTACAAGTAAGTTTTGACTTGGTAACTTGGCTCTGAAGGCTGGTGTTAATGACAGGTGAATACAGTGAGTATTTGCACACACAGAGACAGTTCGCACATTTCAAGTAAATGCTCAAATAGACCTGTGCACTATGGTGTCTCAGTGCAAAAATGCAAAATGGCTGTCTGAGGAGGCCTTACAAATAGCTGTGAAAAGAAGGGAAGTGAAAAGCAAAGAAGAAAAGGAAAAATATACCCATTTGAATGCAGAGTTCCAAAGAATAGCAAGGAAAGATAAGAAAGCTTTCCTCAGCAATCAATGCAAAGAAACAGAGGAAAACAATAGAATGGAAAGACTAGAGATCTCTTCAAGAAAATTAGAGATACCAAACATTTCATGCAAAGATGGGCTCAATAAAGGACAGAAATGGTAGGGACCTAACAAGAGCAGAAGATATTAAGAAGAGGTGGCAAGAATACACAGAAGAACTGTACAAAGAAGCTCTTCATGACCCAGATCATCACAATGGTGTGATCACTCACCTAAAGCCAGACATCCTGGAATGTGAAGTCAAGTGGGCCTTAGAAAGCATCACTACAAACAAAGCTAGTGGATGTGATGGAATTCCAGTTGAGCTATTTCAAATCCTGAAAGATGGTGCTGTTAAAATGCTGCACTCAATATGCCAGCAAATTTGGAAAACTCAGCAGTGGCCACAGGACTGGAAAAGGTCAGTTTTCATTCCGATCCCAAAGAAAGGCAATGCCAAAGAATGCTCAAATTATAGCACAATTGCACTCATCTCACATGATTAAAATTCTCCAAGCCAGGCTTCAGCAATATGTGAACTGAGAACTTCCAGATGTTCAAGCTGGTTTTAGAAAAGGCAGAAGAACCAGAGATCAAATTGCCAACATCTGCTGGATCATCGAAAAAGCATGAGAGTTCCAGAAAAACATCTATTTCTGCTTTACTGACTATACCAAAGCCTTTGACTGTGTGGATCACAATAAACTGTGGAAAATTCTGAAAGAGATGAGAATACCAGACCACCTGACCTGCCTCTTGAGAAATCCGTATGCAGGTCAGGAAGCAACAGTTGGAACCTCACATGGAAAAACAGACTGGTTCCAAATAGGAAAAGGAGTACATCAAGGCTGTATATTGTCAGCCTGCTTATTTAACTTACATGCAGAGTACATCATGAGAAATGCTGGGCTGGAGGAAGCAAAAGCTGGAGTCAAGATTGCTGGGAGAAATATCAACAACCTCAGATATGCAGATGACACCACCCTCATGGCAGAAAGTGAAGAAGAACTAAAGAGCCTCTTGATGAAAGTGAAAGAGGAGAGTGAAAAAGTTGGCTTAAAGCTCAACATTCAGAAAACTAAGATCATGGCATCCGGTCCCATCAGTTCATGGCAAATAGATGAGGAAACAGTGGAAACAGTGGCTGACATTTTTTTTTTCTGGGCTCCAAAATCACTGCAGATGGTGATTGCAGTCATGAAATTAAAAGACGCTTACTCCTTGGAAGGGAAGTTATGACCAACCTAGACAGCATATTAAAAAGCAGAGACATTAGTTTGCCAACAAAGGTCCATTAGTCAAGGCTATGGTTTTTCCAGTGGTCATGTATGGATAAGAGAGTTGGACTATAAAGAAAGCTGAGCACCAAAGAACTGATACTTTTGAACTGTGGTGTTGGAGCAGACTCTTGAGAGTCCCTTGCACTGCAAGGAGATCCAACCAGTCCATCCTAAAGGAGATCAGTCCTGGGTGGTTCATTGGAGGGACTGATGTTGAAGCTGAAACTCCAATACCTTGGCCACCTGATGCAAAGAGTTGACTCATTGGAAAAGACACTGATGCTGGGAAACATTGAGGGCAGGAGGAGAGGGGGATGACAGAGAATGAGGTGGTTGGATGGCATCACTGACTCAATGGGCATGGGTTTGGGGGGACTCTGGGAGTTGGTGATGGACAGGGAGGCCTGGCATGCTGTGGTTCATGGGGTCGCAAAGAGTTGGACACAACTGAGCGACTGAACTGATGGTGTCTCAGATGGTAAAGAATCTGCCTGCAGTGCAGGAGACTTGGGTTCGATCGCCTTGTGAAGGGAATGGCAACCCACTCTTGTATGCTTGCCTGGATAATCCCATGGACAGAGGAGCCTGGTGGGCTACAGTCCATGTGTTCGCAAAGAGTTGGACATGACTGCACGACTAACACTTTCAGTAGTGCTACAGTCTAACTCACAATTGTTGTGGGAATTAAATTAGTTGACATATGTAAAGGCCCAGCACATTATTAAGCGTTGAGTTATTTTACATTTTTACTTCTCAATAAATTGTTAGGAAATGCATAGATGAGTATGAAGTGAAGTGAAGTGAAAGTCGTTCAGCCATGTCTGGCTCTTTTTCGACCCTGTGAACTATACAGTCCATGAAATTCTCTAGGTCAGAATAGTGGAGTGGGTAGCCTCTCCCTTCTCCAGGGGATCTTCCCAAACCAGGGATTGAACCCAGGTCTCCCACATTGCAGGCAGATTCTTAACCAGCTGAGCCACAAGGGAAGCCCATAGATGAGTGTAACTGGATGTTAATTATTGTTTGACTTACTTGTCATCTCTGATTGAAAAACAGTATCTTTCACTGGATAGTAGATGTTGCCTGGATGTTGGGAGACTGCTCACGTTGAGGCACTAGGCCTATTTACCCATGTCTCTTTGGCTGGTTAGTTCATTGCCTGATGAAGTCCAGTGTGTGTGCTCAGTCACTCAGTCATGTCTTACTCTCTGTGATACTTAGGACTGTAGCCTGCCAGATTCCTCTGTCCATGGAATTTTTCAGGCAAGCATATTGGCGTGGGTTGCCATTTCCTCCTCCAGGGGATCTTCCCAACCCAGGGTTCAAACCCACGTCTCCTGCATCTCCTGCATTCGCAGGCTGATTCTTTACCGCTGAGCTATGGGGAAAGCCCTATGAAGTCCAGATAGCAGATTTAATCTCCATTCAGACAAGTTAGTTCCAGGGCCTTGAACTAGTTCTTAACCTAGTAACCTAGGTACAGATACTCTAACCCAGTCCTAGTTCTTAACCTATTATTTTGAAAATGATTAATTAAAAGGAACCCTTTACTTTTCCCATCAAACTCATCACACCATGGCATGAGCAACCCATAACTCATGGCATATTGACCACAGATCTATACTACATTGTATTAGGAAAGATGTCTTCTCTTTAGTTCCCTTTAAAGGGCTAAGATAGCCAGTACTGAGAAAAGTGGCAGAGTTTGGCAGCCAAAAGATTTCAATATGTAATTAGTTCAGTGATGCCATTGGATATAGTGCTAAAAGTATACACAATTTGGCATTGCTGTAGAGTCTGTTGACATATCTCCTAAGGTCTTAGTTAGATTGATTCAGATTCTAAGCTAACTTACTTCCAGTTGCTAGGATTGGGAGTTGGATATGTGAGCAGTTATAACTTTTTGGAAGCTTGGAGTCTGTATTATGCATTTTATGTGATTCAAATGAATGATTAACTATAACATACCTTGGAGGCAGATGCTGCATATAGTTGTTGTAATGTCCTTCCCAAAACACTCTTGGTGGCATTCATTAGTTGCTTACTCCTGCTCCAGCTTCTGGTTGTAGAGTCTAGGTACAGGTACTCTAACCCAGTCTCTCTGCTTTCCTCATCTTGCCTTTTGGGCAACTTATAAAAGGTAAACCTAACAAAGGAAATAATTATGAATTACTAACATTTACTGAGTGTTACCTTTTTTTAAATTTAGTTTTTAATTGGAGGAAAATTGCTTTACAATGTTGCATTGATTTCTGCCATACAACAATGTGAATCAGGCATGAGTGTGTGTATATATACACACATCCATCACACCTTCCTCTTGAACTTCCCTCCTCTTCTGCCATCCCATCCCTCTAGGTCATCACAGAGTGCCCGGCTGGGCTCCCTGTGTTGTATAGCTGTTTCCTAGTAGCTATCTATTTTACACATGATAGTGTAAATATGTCAGTGCTACTTTCTCAATTTATCCCACCCTCTCCTTCCCCTGCTGCATCCACAAGTCTGTTCTCTATGTCTGTGCCTCCATTCCTTCCCTGCAAATAGGTTCATCAGTATCATTTTTCTAGATTCCACATATGTGCATTGATATATTTGTTTTTCTCTTTCTGACTTACTTTGCTCTGTGTAATAGGCTGTGGGTTCATCCACCTCACTACAAATGACTCAAGTTTGTTCCTTTTTATGATTGAGAAATATTCCATTGCATATACGTACCACATCTTCTTTATCCATTCATCTGTCAATGGACATCTATTGCTTCCATGTCCTGGCTGTTGTGAATAGTGCTGCAGTGAACACTGGGGTAAATGTGTCTTTTTGAAATGTGGCTTTCTCAGGGTATATGCACAGTAGTGGGATTGTGGGATCATATGGTAGATTTATTCCTAGCTTTTTAAGGAATCTCCATATTGTTCTCCCCAATAGCTGCATCAGTTTACATTCCCACCAATAGTGCAGGGGGGTTCCCTTTTTTTCCATAGCCTCTTCAGCATTTATTGTTTGTAGATTTTTTGATGATGGCCGTTCTGATTGGTGTAAGGTGATATCTCATAGTAGTTTTGATTTGCACTTCTCTAATAATGAGTGATGTTGAGCATCTTTTCATATGGTTATGTCTTATTTGGAGAAATGTCTAAGTATTCTGCCCATTTTTTGATTGGGTTATTTGTTTTTCTGATATTGAGCTGTATGAGCTGCTTATATATTTTGGAGATTAATTTGTCAGTTGCTTTGTTTGCAGTTATTTTCTCCCATTCTGAGGGCTGGACTGACTATTTTCTTGATGGTAGCCACTGTCAAGCCTTTAACTATATCATTTTACCTATATTTCACAAAAGGTCTCGAAGTTAAGGAGAGGGATTTGCTCCAGCTTTCTGCCTCTTACATTCCACCCTTACTGTTGCTCCTTCCTAGCGAAGGAAATACAAATCTGACTGTGCGTGTTCTAAAAACATTTACTGGCCTGGTGTGTGAGATCCATGTGGTGAAAGCCCACATACATTGAAAATGGCTCTTCTATTCTTTCCACAGTTGGTAAGAATGCCAAGGCCTAGGCCTGGACTAAAGAAGTCTTAGATGTGTCTCTGCTGCCTGAAGGGCTTGGCGTGCTCATCTCTTTGCAGCTGGCTGGCTGAATCTGAGATTTGGGTTTGGGCATCAGAGTCAGTGGAGGCTGTTTTGAGCCTCTGGCCTGAGCCACGTTCTTCAGCTCGATTTATCGGCACACTCTGCATTGAGGATTCAGGGCCAAGCCCAACCAATTAAGTGCGTGCCTTGCTTGCTTTCCTGTTGTCTCCTGTTCGTGTTTCCTTTGGTTGCCTCACACGATGCAGAGGTGGCTGGACCTGCATGGTATTCAGACGTTCTTGAATCATCTGGCCCAGGTTTCTCAGTGTGCTATATTCACATTTTGGGGGCTCATTGTTCTTCGTTCTGGGGGGCTGCCCTGTGAACTGTAGTATCCCTTGCTTCTACCTGTCAGTAGTACATATTCCCCCAGTCGTGCCAATCAAAAATGTCTGCAGACATTGTCAAAAGTACCTGGAAGGTGAAATTGACTTTGTCTAGCCAAATACCCTTTAATATCATGAACCCACATTTAACCCTCAAATACTCACACTGAACCAAATATTGTAATGCATTCACTATTACCACATAACAGCATTTCGCTTTACCCAGAAAATCTTCACTTTTCATTGGGTTCTCACCAGTCTTATGCTTCTATTTATGTTCTTTCCTGCCCTGTCCAGGCTTTCTGACTCTCAGGGCCAGGTCCTCACATGTGGCAGGAAACATGAAATTATTCTTTGATGCTGACCTCATGTTCCTCTGGCCTTTAACTCTCACAGTAAGTTTTAGACTCAAGACTGTACCTCCGTGTGTGCTCAACTCAGCATCCTCTCTGACAGAGACTGCTAAATAATATGTCCATTCATTTGTGGCAAAAATAAATTTTGTGTGTTGATCACAATTTGATGGCCCACCAATGAAAGGTTTGTGAACTATCATGGCACACCAGTTAAGGACCAGTGCTTTTATAAACAATTTTCCTGGGTGACCATATCCAGTTACAATCTGAAGATTCTTGAATCTACTTCTAGCCTCTGTGCTGAGGTCTAGATAAACCCAAATGCAAAGATGGTTCAGAGACCAACTCCATGGTTTTAAAACCAAGTTCATGATATTGTGCAACAAATCCATTCATTCCCTACTCTTAGGGGACACATTCACACAATCACAGAAACTAGCAACCTGCAAGTCTTTCTTAACATTTTCCTCTCTCCTACTACCCTCTGCCCATCCATTACCAAGTCTTCTCAGCTGTTCTTCTGCTTTACTTCTGCTTCTTTAACTCGAGTATCCAGACATTGCCTGGATACTCTTCTCACCTATTATGCTGCAGAAGTCTCGTTGGTCTCCATGACTCTGCACTGGTTCCTGGCCAACTGGCCTTCACAGTACTGCCAGTGGGCTTTCTAAAATGCAAATCTGACTTATTCAAGTCCCTACTTGACGTCCCTCAGTAGTTCCCTTTCAAGGTCAAATTCAGTCTCAGCAATTTAACCCATAAAGCCCTTCATGACCTGGCCCTCACTCATCTCTCTAAGCTCCCCTCTTGCCATTTCCCCATGTTCTCCTGAAGCACAAACATTACTCAACTGCTTCCAGACTTTCCCCATTGTTTGTTGCCTCTGGACCTCCTCAGTGCTTCTCCATTGGCCTGAAATGCCCTGACATCTCCCTTGTCTTTCTAACTAACTAAAAATTATTATCCAAACTTCTCCCAGAGAAGTCTTTTGGGCCCCATCCTCTCCAGTGCCCCATCTATACCCTTACCGCACAACTATGAGCTCCTTAAGAGTAACAACTATGCTTTATTCATATTTATGTTTTCAGAACTTAGCACAGGACTGGTGTGTGCTCAGTAACTCTTTGGTGAGAGAGTGACTGAGTGTATCTGTGTCCTCCAGCCTCAACTTTACACAAAGCTTGATGCCAACCGTAAAAGCAAACCTAAATACCCTAATTAAAGAGTGAAGAAGTGATCAGAGCTTTTGGAGAATCCATGACTATAATGCAAAGCTGTGTTTCACCCCTTTGACACTTGAGGAGATCAGTGGCCTCCCACCCACTCTGACAACTGCCTGTCTGATCCAACAAACAAGGTTAACCAAACAGTGCTATGTACCACCAAACCCTCTTTCTCCTTCACGTAAGCATACGCTCCACTATCAGGAAAAAGTCATCTATCTTCTCTCCTTTGTCAACTTAAAAGGATGCTGGGAGTGTTCTGTTAGGAAAACCACAAAACAATTGAAGGAACTTGCCAAATGAGAGAAGCTGTCTTTGCCCTGCTGAGAGCATGAATCAGGCCCACAAGGCACTGCTCAGCTACTTCTCAAGGGAAAGATCCCTCATTCAGATCCTATCTCTACCTGGATACATGGCCAGTTTACACACTTTCACGTCCTTTCCTTTTATGGGGAGAGGTGGAGCAGAGGTCTCCTTCAGAACACACAGTGAACCAGGTAACCACCAGTAGTTTGGCTTTCCACTGGCAGGCACTGAGCCTTACATTTCATTTACTTACCAATCCACAGCCTCACCGTCTTCATTTCTGCATGATATTTTTGTTGCCTCCAGGATCCCAAAGAGACCAAGGAACAGCACAGTCAGCAGTGTTCCTAGAAGTCTTGCTGTCATTTTCTGTCACCTTTAGTCCATGGCACAGCAGGAAAACTTCCCCCTGGATGGTGGAGTCTGAGTTTCAAATCTCCCTCAAACTGTGCTGGCTCTGACGTTTGATTCCATTCACCTCTGCCATTTGATTCCATTCACCTCTGCCATTTGCTGTCTGGGCATTTTCAGAATGGGATGCATCCTATGTAATTGTGTGGTTCAGTCACAACATGCCAGCGTGATTCCTCATGCCTTTGTGCTGAATTGTTGACTGGTTTGCAAAGTCATCAAAAAGTCCTGGAGAGAAAAAAGGGATGTACGGGTAACTCTTTGGAGTGAACATCGTGTGATAGGAAGTTCAGTGGACAGGAGAACTCTGTATTGATAAGCAGATGTTGAATTAAATCTATTTCATGTGTTTTCCTCTTATGATTGTTTCTCTATGAAAAGAAAAGAAAGTAAAGTAAAGTCACTCAGTCATGTCTGACTCTTTGTGACCCCATGGGCTGTAGCCTACCAGGCTCCTCCATCCATGGGATTTTCCAGGCAAGAATACTAGAGTGGGTTGCCATTTCCTTCTCTAGGAGATCTTCCTGATCCAAGGATTGGATGTAGGTCTCCCACACTGTAGGCAGATGCTTTACTGTCTGAGCCACTGGGAAGTCCTTTACGAGTTTCTCTATGAGTGAGGGTAAATGTTTGTGGTTCACCCATTAAACAGAAATGACAAAATCTTATGTCTTAGTAATAATTAGGATCTATCACTTGTGATACTCTCTATCTTAAGGAAACATTTCCTAAAGAGTGCTTCAAAGGTCTGCTTCAAAAAAAGGGCAAATTCAGAATTGCTTTTAGCAAAGATGTTTACATATCCTCTCCACCTCCTAGTTTTAGCCACTCAGCATGGTGCTTTACTTCAAAGAGGCTTTGCTGTCCAATAGGTTACAATGCAATCAGATAAACATACTGACCACTCTTGCATCAGATCAAATGAAAAATTTTCAAGCATCAGTTTTGCCCAAATTATTCTTTCTCACTCTTGAAACTGAATATGAAGTTGAAAACAAAGGGAAAATGGCTCATTACCGTAATGACTATCAAAAGGTGAGCCCATTCTCTTTTTGGAGGAGGGAAGAGGTAGATGGGCATACGAAAAAATTTCTTTAAGTGCCTACTGATTTTTAATCAATTATTAAAGATTCTGTCATAATAAATAGCAGTTTTCTGTATACCTGAAAATAATTATGGCTCTGATCTGTCTCTTTGATTATGGATCCAGATCAGAGTTACTTAAGAATTCAGACTAAACTGGACCCTTGCAAATTGGATCACTTCTATGGTTGAACTGGAGTTATTCAGGATTCTTGGGGGTTCATAGGAAAGAGAGGGCTACTTCTCTTATAACAGAATTTTGTGTGAAATGTTCTGGACCACCCGTCCATATTTTCCTGAGGTGCCTTGCAAGAACAGAATTGTGGGCCTTGATCCAAACCTGATAAATAAAAATCCTTCCAGTTGGGTCAGGAATCTACCCTAATTACCAGATTTTTGGTGATCTGCTGTACTTTAAACTTTGAGAATTGCTGGCCTGAGATCAAGGCTGTGCTGTGTCTGGTTACCAAATTGGTAAACTGAGAAGCCCTTTTCTGACTATTCCTCCATGGGTATCATATTATTTAATGTATGTTTTTACTGCTCTCAGATTAAAATGATCTCAGCAAACCCAAGCTTTTCATCAATTTTTAAAAAATTTCATAGCATAAAGTTTACTTTTCTAAGTTAAAGTGAAATAAATTTAATTTTATTCATATTTATCTTGTGATACCTTTTCTTCTTTTTTTTTATTATTATTATTTTTTAATTTAATTAATTTATTTTTTTTTTCTTATCACAACCATAGTGTATCTTTTTTTTTTTTTTTTACATGTATTCCCCATCCCGGTCCCCCCTCCCACCTCCCTCTCCACCCAATCCCTCTGGGTCTTCCCAGTGCACCAGGCCTGAGCACTTGTCTCATGCACCCAACCTGGGCTGGTGAACTGTTTCACCCTAGATAATATACGTGTTTCAATGCTGTGCTCTTGAAACATCCCACCCTCGCCTTCTCCCAGAGTCCACAAGTCTGTTCTATACATAGGAGTCTCTTTTTCTGTTTTGCACATAGGGTTATCGTTACCATCTTTCTAAATTCCATATATATGTGTTAGTATACTGTAATGGTCTTTATCTTTCAGGCTTACTTCGCTCTGTATAATGGGCTCCAGTTTCATCCATCTCATTAGAACTGATTCAAATGAATTCTTTTTAATGGCTGAGTAATATTCCATGGTGTATATGTACCACAGCTTCCTCATCCATTCATCTGCTGATGGGCATCTAGGTTGCTTCCATGTCCTGGCTATTATAAACAGTGCTGCGATGAACATTGGGGTACACGTATCTCTTTCAGATCTGGTTTCCTTGGTGTGTATGCCCAGAAGTGGGATTGCTGGGTCATATGGCAGTTCTATTTCCAGCTTTTTAAGAAATCTCCACACTGTTTTCCATAGTGGCTGTACTAATTTGCATTCCCACCAACAGTGTAAGAGGGTTCCCTTTTCTCCACACCCTCTCCAGCATTTATTGCTTGTAGACTTTTGGATAGCAGCCATCCTGACTGGTGTGTAATGGTACCTCATTGTGGTTTTGATTTGCATTTCTCTGATAATGAGTGATGTTGAGCATCTTTTCATGTGTTTGTTAGCCATCTGTATGTCTTCCTTGGAGAAATGTCTGTTCAGTTCTTTGGCCCATTTTTTGATTGGGTCATTTATTTTTCTGGAGTTGAGCTGGAGGAGTTGCTTGTATATTTTTGAGATTAACCCTTTGTCTGTTGCTTCGTTTGCTATTATTTTCTCCCAATCTGAGGGCTGTCTTTTCACCTTGCTTATAGTTTCCTTTGTTGTACAAAAGCTTTTAAGTTTCATTAGGTCCCAAAAAACTCTCCAGAAAGCAGGAATAGAAGGAACATATCTCAACATAATAAAAGCTATATATGACAAACCCACAGCAAGCATCACCCTCAATGGTGAAAAACTGAAAGCATTTCCCCTGAAATCAGGAACAAGACAAGGGTGCCCACTCTCACCACTACTATTCAACATAGTTTTGGAAGTTTTGGCCACAGCAATCAGAGCAGAAAAAGAAGTAAAAGGAATCCAGATAGGAAAAGAAGAAGTGAAACTCTCGCTGTTTGCAGATGACATGATCCTCTACATAGAAAGTCCTAAAGACTCTACCAGAAAATTACTAGAGCTAATCAACCAATACAGTAAAGTTGCAGGATATAAAATTAACACACAGAAATCTCTTGCATTCCTATACACTAACAATGAGAAAACAGAAAGAGAAATTAAGGAAACAATACCATTCACCATTGCAACAAAAAGAATAAAATACTTAGGAGTATATCTACCTAAAGAAACAAAAGACCTATACATAGAAAACTATAAAACACTGATGAAAGAAATCAAAGAGGACACAAACAGATGGAGAAATATACCGTGTTCATGGATTGGAAGAATCAATATTGTCAAAATGGCTATACTACCCAAAGTGATCTACAGATTCAATGCAATCCCTATCAAACTACCAACGATATTTTTCACAGAACTAGAACGAATAATTTCACAATTTGTATGGAAATACAAAAAACCTCGAATAGCCAAAGTAATCCTGAGAAAGAAGAATGGAACTGGAGGAATCAATCTGCCTGACTTCAGACTATACTACAAAGCCACAGTCATCAAGACAGTATGGTACTGGCACAAAGACAGAAATATAGATCAATGGAACAGAATAGAAAGCCCAGAGATAAATCCACGAACCTATGGTCACCTTATCTTTGACAAAGGAGGCAAGGATATATAATGGAAAAAAGACAACCTCTTTAACAAATGGTGCTGGGAAAACTGGTCAACCACCTGTAAAAGAATGAAACTAGAACACTTTCTAACACCATACACAAAAATAAACTCAAGATGGATTAAAGATCTAAATGTAAGACCAGAAACTATAAAACTCCTAGAGGAGAACATAGGCAAAACACTCTTCGACATAAATCACAGCAGGATCCTCTGTGATACCTTTTCATATTATGATAATAGATAAATACACAAGGCTTAAGATTCATTAATTCATAGAAAATATAAGGAACTTGTTTTCAGTTATGTAAGCCAAAGAACTTTTGTTGAATAAGATATAAAATAATTCATATTTTCTCCTCATTACACATTTAGCACATGCATGCATACATGGTCACTCAGTCGTGTCTGATTCTTTGCAATCCAATGGACTGTAACCCCCCCAGGCTCCTCTGTCCTTGGCATTTTTCAAACAAGAATACTGGAGTGGGTTGCCATTTTCTCCTCCAGGGAATCTTCCTGACCCAGGGATCAAACCAGCATTTCTTGCATTATCCTGCATTAGCAGGTGGATTCTTTACCAACTGTTCTATGTGCGCATCCTACACACTTAGCACAGTGCATGGCAAATAGTAAATGATCTGTAAATGATAGCTAAGATTATTTTTACTTCAACCTGAGCCTTTACTGTGACTGGGCTTTAGGATATCTGCATTAGGATGGTTTTGCTAAAGCTAAATTTATTTCAAGGTCTGGAAAAACAGGTAGGTTCTTTTCTTGGAGATGTCATTTTCAATAAACTTTCTTATCTCTTGTTTCTGACCTGATCATGCTGGTTGTCAGTCAACAGCCTTCATTATGCAATCACTAAGTGTCAAACAGTGCACCCCAAACACTGAAGGGATCCAGGGATTTCAACATTACCCTAAAGCCTAAATTCCAGTGTGTCCTGGGTTTTTACTAAAAACAGCAAAGTAATGGCATGGAAAGAAGCACAATGAATTTAATGGATAGACAAAACAAACTGGGCAGAATGTTTTTCACATTACCCACTTTCGAAGCCCAAGTAATAAAATATTATGAAAATACCATGTCTCCGTCATAATGATTAAATCCCTTCAT